CTTAAGNNNTTGGTAAGTTGTGATGTCTTGGATAAGACAAAGACCAACTAGTACCAAATTGTGTGTAGGTTTGTCTTGATAAAGACACACACTGACTCTTGAATATTTGTTTTGTCAAGAAATGTTTCTTGACAAGAGAATCTTATATGTCAAGAGGTCAGTGGGAGTCTAAAGATCTTGAAAAGTTTCAAGAACAAATCAAGAAGTAAACCTATTAAACACTAGCACACGACTTGAGGATTGTAACCTATCGTGTTGACAAAATTTTATTTCTGTGCCAATCCAGTTGAGTGATTATGCATATGAGTTCTACGAGTTCTCAATTGAATGCATAAGGGCAAACACCTTGATCAATGAAAGTACATTGACTGGCATAGGTGAGCTGCTAAATAACTTGGAAGCAATGGTGGGACCCTTGATGGCAAGAAATTAAGAATGAACAAGTTCTGTCCATAAGAGGTTGAATTTGTCACAAACATTATCTTACGATTATGCTTATGACAAATTTGCATGGATAGGAACACATGCACCATAAAATCTAAGTGTCATAAGGTTTCTCTCCTTCATGAAAATGATTGTGAGGAAACGCTTTCACTAAGAGAGATTTTAAGGAGATAGCGATTATGTAAATTGCATTCTCAAATTCGATTATGATTACGGCATCCCTTTTCATAGTTCGAATTGTGAGATTTGGCAATTAGTTTGAACAATCGAGACTTATTGCTATAAGTTCTGGAATTGTTTAGACACACATGTGAGCTGTCTAAAGTAAGGTGTATGAGTTTGAGATGCTTAGATAAAAGCTTATCAAAGCATATCGTATTAGAAACAATGAACTTTGGAAGTCAATAAGTATTGTTTTCTAGAAGTTTAGCTGGTTTCTGAATACGTGTCAAAGCTAGTGGGAGCATAAATGTTATGCTGGTATGGATATAATCATCATGTTAGTGGGAGCATGATTATTATTGCAAGTTAGCAATATTAATTATAGAAAACAAAAGTTTCACTTTGCAAAGTTGCATAGGTTGAAAAGTTGTTTTGCTATAATTAAGGGAGAGAATGTTATACTTCGTTTCAAATCTAAAGGTTTAGATCGAGAAATTTTAATCAAATTTAGTCAAAAAGATATATGAATGTTATGTTGAAAGGATTCAACGTAAGAGAATTCTATATATGGAAATATTTGTTGCGTTCTCACACTCGATTATGATTACGGCATCCCTTTTCATAGTTCGAATCGTGAGAACATGGCAAATAGAAATATTATAGCAAAAGACTGGTAAAGTATCATGTCATTGTAATATTCGACCGTTCTAAAATTTTCCGAATGCCTAGGGCATTAAGAGGGAAAGAGGACTAGAATCGGATTTGACTGAATTAGTTAAACAACTGTCAAGGATAATCTAAGTTCGCCAAGGATTGGTCGCTTGTGAACAGTTGGAAGTATAGTAATGGAAGGACCATATTGACATTATTATTATTAGATATGATTCTATTAATAATGAGTTGTCATATGGCAAATATGGAAATGTTTCCTTATTGGGAGTTGGACGTTAAGAGTTTATGTGTAGATTAGAAAAACTTTTATGCAAGAAGGATGTTCAAAGGAATGTACTTTGAATGTGAGACTTCATGTCTATGGAATTGTCTTGTAACAATCTCCAATAGAGCATTTTGTAATTTCATTGGCCGAGTCTTGGTGACTTTTGTGCCATGACATTACGAAAGGACTGTTGCATAAAGTGTTAGAATCTAACATATTCTATAAGTGGCAAGAATTTGGTATTCTTACACTTGTGGTAAGGATTGGGAATTGTAAAATGAGTGTGATTGAAAATGTTATTCAATTATACTATTTCACAGAGTAAGGACCATAAGTAAACATAGTGTGCATGCTAAGAGCATGGGACAATTGTCGTTATAATTCAAGTAAGAAGTTGATTACCCGAAACAACAAATAATGAGTAATCAATATGGTGATTAAATAAAAGTGTTTTATTTATACTCAAAAGTTTGGGGCCATATAAGATTAGTATTATTCTTGTGTTTCAATTTGCATGTTTTGACTTCCTAAATAATTGAGTTATTTGAGAATAATCGAATTATTTGAACGTTCCACAGTCGCTCATACTTTGGGAGTAGGTATGAAAGAAGATTGTCATGAATTGGTGTGTAGATTGTCTAAAGTGTATTAGACATAGCAAAAGTTTGCTACAACGTTCATGAGTGCTTACGAATATGATTTGAGCATTGGATTAAACCCACGCTCACTTGGATCGCTTCATGGATTTTATCACGAGTGATTGGTGAGACGATAATATCTTATATTCTTGAAACCGAGATGTGTGAGTTGTATCTTGCGAGTCGGTTACACATTGATAATATGTAAACGCACCAGTAACTTGGTGTTATAAAACGTATTGTTGTGTGTGATTCGGTGAGTGAGTACAAGCGAGCATTGAGTCGAAGTTTATCCGTTCCTTTTACCCAAAGTGGGATAAAAGCGATATCTGTGGGACCCTCGATGATTTAGTAATGACAAAGGAAAGTGCTCGGCCGGGCCAGGACTGATTTGATTTGTTCAATTAGTCAGTTGTCATAAATCAGAAATCGGGAAACGACACATAGACTGAGAGAATGATTTCAATCCATGTCTCACGTCTATACGATATCTAGAATGGAGGAATATATGATCCCTTATCTAAAGGACGCGTATCTGATAAGATCAGAGTTGACAACGGCTTTTGAAAGCTACGATTGCGGATCAGGATCTGAAGTCATACGCAGAATAGTTATTAGACTTATCCAAGTGGGAGACTGTTGGATTAGTGTCTAAGTCCATAACTATTTTGGTATGTACTTGACCCGATGGTGCATGGTCCTTTTGGGTTGCCTTCACCAAAGCAACTTGATAGGATGAATTATGGAGAGAGAGGATTAATTATGATTTATTAATATATTATGAGAATAATATATTAAAGGAGAAATCATATTGTTTAATTAATATTAGTCAATAATTAATTAAGAATTAATTTTGTGGCTAAAAGAGATTAATTAAACTTAGGGGACTAGAACTGTCAATTGTGTGATAGTTGAATATTGGGCTAATGGACTCCTTATTAGAGGAGTGGACGAATTCTATGGGGAAACCCATTAGAAATCGTCCAAGGCCTCTAAAGGAGGAGTCCATGGGTTGCTTAGGGCCTAAGCAGTCAAATTAGGGTTTCCTTGTTAGATAACCCTAATAGCCTCACTATTTAAGCACCCCTAGGGCACCAAAAACGTGGCTAACTGATTCCTTAGGGTTTCTAGACGTTTTTGAGTGCCTCTCCTCTTCTCCTTCTTCATCCTCTTGCTCTTGGTGTTTGTGAGCCATTAGAGGAGTGACATTTGTGACTCTAAGTTTTTCAGAAGCCACTTACAACAAGGGATAGATTGTTATTGCTACATAACAATCAAGGTAAGATCTAAACCCTATTCTTATGTTTATATTGATTATCACATGCTAGATCTAGGGTTTATGGCTTTGCATGATTATTGCATGTTCATTAGACAAACTAGATCCAAAGCTTTAGGGTTTACATGTACACCATAGGAATGTTGTAGTGCTCAAAACCCATCAGTGGTATGCTAATCTAATGGTTGTTGTCTAATGGTAGTTGTATTGGTGTTCCTGGTTATAGATGTTATTAGGATTATGTGTGTTTAGTTTGTGTTAATGGTAATCCAGTGTGTGTAGGTAGTGGTACTCCAGTGGTGGTTGTAATCGTAATGTTTGGATGTATATTGAAATCTTGGTTACCTATAACAAACATTTAGGTATGATATTGGTATAAATGTAAATTGAAATACATGCTTAATAAAATCAGGCATGAATGGCTTATAATTTCTTTCGTTCATTGGTGTTGTTGTTTTAGGGTAACTTTTGGTGGATCCATGAACACGATAAGCACTAGAAAAGATTGTGAATATGTTGTTGTATGGTAAATATGAATAGTTGGATGTACTTTATTTGCCTTTAGTTAATGGTAATTAAGTGTGTTTGGTGAACCAACTATGACAGACGTTCGTGAGACCAAATAAAGGGGTATTTTCGTCATTTCCTCTTTAACAGTACTTTTCATCCTTAATGGACAGTAAAGTGGACATACATCACTCTCTTTTTCCATGTGTTTGTTTATCTTTGGAATTAAGGATCCCTTGGAATTAACGAAGCGAAAATGGTGAAATGCTTGTGTGGATGTGTCACCATAATATGAATGTCTTCCGCTCCGTCCAACCCTGGAAGACCCTTCTATGATTGCCCCACTAAGGTGTGTGTTACTTTCTTTATTTGTCCACTGTAGGCCTAATTTATCACTTTCTTCCATTCTCAGTCTCTCACTTGAAAATTCTTTTTGTTAGGGACCTCGTAATGGTTTTATTTGTTAGGTAGAAGAAGCAAACACTAAGAATATGAGTGTTGAAGCAATAATGATTGCAGGTTCGGCTAGGTCAAAAAAGAAGCTTGAATCGACGATTTGGAAGCTGAAGATGTGTTTAGTTGTTAGTTGGATTGTTTTCTATGGCATAATTGTTTACAAGTTATAATGGTTTGTTGATGTTAATTTGCTTGTAATGGAAAGTACTCTATTGTCCATGTATCTTTATTTTACTTTAATAAAAAAACAATGGTTATGTTAGATTGGTACTTTATTTGTTGTTAGTGACATTGGAAATAGCTTCAACTTGGACAAATGGGACGATATGCAGTTAAACTCATGTCTAAAATGGACCACAATACCATGTACGTCCATAACTAACACACAATCATAACCACATTCAAACCATTAACATTACAAACGGCTGTACACAAAACATATGTAGTATATAATACTAAACATCCAAACTTCGTTCGAAACATCACAATTTGATCCTAAATAACAAGTACATAATGAAATACAGGCAAATTTAATTCCTATTCAAGTTCCATTGGCTTGTCACTAGTGTTGCCTTCCCCATTCTTACCCTCAACCCTTGTATCTAGTTTTTTCTTGATACTTCTTTCAGACTTCTTTCTTTCCTTGATAATTACCTTCTTACCCCTAGCTCCTTGCCCATATTTACCATCCATTCCCTTCTTACCACTGCTTCCTTCCCCATCATTACCATTTGTGCCCTTCATACCGCTACTTCCTTCCCCATCCTTACCATCGGTTCCCTTCTTACCACTGGTTCCTTCCCCGTTTTTACCACCTTTTTCCTTCTTACCACTGCTTCCCTCACAATCTTTACCATCCGTTCTCTTCCTTTTCTTGACCTTGAGTTTTGTTGGCTTTTCAGCTTGAGAACATGTAACCTTGTTATGTCCTACTTGCATGCATACACTACACATAATTTTTTTCCTAACCTTTGACACAGTGTGTCTTGCACCCATTTCACTTGCATCCTTTCTTCTATTAACTTTAGGTCTACCTGGCATTTTTCTCTTAAATGGTGGCAAAGGTTCTATGAATTCTGTAGGTGGCCACATATTGCTACCATTTATCCTACACATTGGATACTTGTAGGTGTTCCTGTAAATTGCTCCATAGTATATTGGATCCACATAACTACCAACATCTCTATTTAGGTATGAGATAATTGCAACTGAATGCACACATCCATACCTATTTAGTTGCCACACTCAACATGAATAAATCTTCTTATCTAGATCCATAACATAGGACTCTGCCAAATTTCTTGTTTCAAACTGGTTTAAAACTATTGGTAAAACCTGCCAATACATGTTTAAATTGTATTGAAGTTAGTATATAGTGTAAGTAATCGATTAAAATTAAAAATTAAAGTTAATACCTTTGAGCTCTTTTCAACTGATTCAGTAGGATTGTAATAGATGGCATGGTTTATTATCAGACCATGAACAACATTTGATGGTCAGATTGAATTGCCTCTCCATAACATACAACCTAATTTCTTCTTACATTGTGATTATTGTTTTTTTTCTTGCATCTCTAATGACATTGTTAAAACTTTCAGATTATCCATTTTCAACTGCATCACACATCCTTCCCTCTTGAAAGAAATCTCCACACCATGAATTTGGGTTCTTTTCCATAAGGTAATCAAATATTCTAGGATTAAGGAGTGGATTTCCTTCATGGTTTCATTAAATAAAGCCTTAGGGGATGCTTTTCATGCTTTCCAAAACATCCTATCATAATGTACACCACTGAATCTTTTCCTGAAGTTGGCAACAATATGCCTTACACACTGTCTTTGTTCAGCAGTAGGTAATACCACCTTCACATCCTCCAACAACCCCTACACAGTTTAAGGTCATTTGTTAAGAAAATACAAATTCATTAATAAATTACATTAAGTTTTATAGTAAGGGACATATCTTATGTTGATCTGACATCAGGGTAAAACCAAAACCATTTGCCATTTGTAGGTCATCTTTAAGATTCTCCAAAAACCATTTCCATTTTTCTTTGTTTTCCACACAAACAACTGCCCATGCTATTAGGAAAATATGATTGTTAGCATCTATTCCTACGACACATATCAACTCTCCACTACATAACCCCTTTAAGAAACAACCATCCAGGTTTATTACTCTTCTACAACTGCCTTTCCAACCTTGCTTCAGCCCCTCAAAACATATATAAAACTTACTAAAATATGTCTTTCCATTAGGCATATTGTTGACATCTATTTTGACACTTGATCTTGGATTGGATCTTCTTATCTCTTCACCATATGACCAAAGCTTGGCATAATGCTTAACTAGTGTGCCTTCAGTTCGTTCAATTGCATATTTCTTTGCTCTCCTACACTGCCCCATACTCACATCAATTCCAAATTTCTTTTTCACTTCTTCCTTAAGTAACCTAACACTCCATTTTTGTTTTTGTAAGAATTATGCTGTGAAGTGGCTACCAATGCATGCATAGTTTACAATTGACCCCATTTTGAAATTTATTGCACAATTATGCTCATCTATAAGAGACTTACTTTGGAAAGAATTTTCTACACTCATCCATGAAGCCCACAATCTAAACTTGCACTGCCCTGAACAACATTTAACTAAAAGTCCCATAATGTCATTTTTTGTAGCACAATTGATAACCTTTCACAACCGCATAATTACACAACATATGTTTAACTGTTTAGGACTTTCAAATCTCATTCCTAACACATGATTTTGCTTTTTCCAATGAACATTTTCATTAAACGTTGTTACCTCCTCAAGAATTGGCACGTTTTCATCCATCTGATCATATGGATCCTCATGAGGTGGACTGTCTGGGGTTGGCTGCTCCTTGGGGTAGAGCTTGTTCAAAAACGCATCATTCAAGGTCTTGTTCATTGTAATGCAATCACCATCTACAATGTTATCGTCCAAATTACCTTGCACTTGCACTTCATCTAGGTCAATGCCACCTTCTGTCTCAGCATGCAACTCTTTTGTTACTTTACCTACACCAGAAAATTTATCCTCGGGGGTGCATACTGCAGCTAGCTCATCAAGAATCCATCGATGGATATCGAAACCAACATGATCGATGTACACATAAATTACACAACCACAATCATACCCTACTTCGATAAACTCCTGGTAGTATTTTTCAGTTGCTCTTATCCTCAATCCATCATGGAACTCAGTATCGGGCATGAAAAAGTACACATTAATGCATGTCTCGTTTGCGAATATTTGAATGAACAACACAAATACGTTTTTGTCCATTCCAGTAAAATCCACATCCTCAAACCTCTGCTCCGCTCCATCTGAGTAACTGATCACTGGGTACCTCGTAAACATACTATCAAAATGAAGATCGATCTTCATGTAGACGGCCATAACAAGAATCCAATGGAGTGCTTTTGCGAGGAACAATAAAAGAAAATAGAAGAAACGGGCAGATGAAAGCGACTACACAAGAATATATATTCTAGAGGAAGGGTTACATATCTCATATAATGATACATTAGGTGGAATCTAATTTGGTGTATGAGTTGTCTTTTTTTTTTATGACATGTACAACATAACCGGTTGATTGGGAAGGGGGTCACCAGGTGACCCCTTCACTTTCTAGAAAATGGCCTTAAAAGCCGGTAAAATTTGAATTCATGCCCTTATAAAGCCAAAAAAATAACAATATGGACATTTTAAATCAAAATGTGTAAGTTCGTGGGGCTACAGTGACATTTTCCCAATTAAGATAATAAAAAATCTCTTAAAATCAGAAAATTCTCTTTTTAAATTTTTGTTTCCTAATTTAAAAGTAATGGAAATATACAACTTTACCTTTCTTTTAATTAAATGGTATTATTCTTTTTATTTTTAATTTAATAATATGGATAATTGACTTTTTTAAAATAACTAAAATGATTGGTCCACAATCATTCCTACATCCACACAATAATTAGTTTTAACACAATAACATAATCTTATATATATATATATATATATATATATATATATATATATATATATAGAGAGAGAGAGAGAGAGAGAAAGATAGAGAGAGAGAGATAAGATCGGATGCGGACTTGTGAGGACACCTTTAAAAAATCTAAAAATACAAATCATAAAATTGAGCATAATACTATATTGGAGAGAAAAAAATTGGAAATTGTTTTCTGGATCATTAAAATTGAAGCACGGATCATTTTTATGATCCATGATTCACTTTTTATGATCCATGATTCAATTTTAATGATCCAAAATATTTTTTCTAATTTTTTTTCTCTCCGATATAGTACTATGCTCAATTTAATGTTTTGTATTTATTTTAGGTTTTTTTTCAATTTTTAAGGTGTCCTCGCGAGTCCTCACTGAAAAAAAAAGTGATCACGGGAACCGGACCATATATATATATATATATATATATATATATATATATATATATATATATATATATATATATATATATATATATATATATATATATAACGAAAAACTCAATAAAACATCTTATATTTTATATATTTTTTATTCAATTAAGTCCCAAAAAACGACAATTATATTCATTTTAACCTTTTTCCTCGGTTAATAGGTTAACACATTTTCAAAATTTATACTTTTGGCCCGGATTTTAATTTCATTACAAAATTGATCCAAAATTTATTGTTTTGGCTGATATTTCAAAATTGTATTACAAATTCATCCTAAATTTTACTCTTTTACATATTTTTTTTACAAAATCTTGTTTTGAATATGTTTTTTTGCTTTATAAATTCATATTTATACAAAAAAGATATATTTTTATATAAATAGCCTTTTTTTTAAACATTTTTGTGTGCAATATACCAATATAAATACCTTTTTTATTTTAAATATATATTTATAAAAAAATATTTGTATGAAAATGCTTGAAATATATTTACGTAAAATACGTTATTATACCCATATATATCTTAAATAGCTTTTATACAATAGGTATTTATTAAGTACATAAAAAACATTTTGTGTGCATATAAATACATAAATATATACAAATCTATTTTTATACAAAATATATAAAAACAAGTATTTTATAAAAAAAAATACACAAACACTTATTTTATAATAAATTCCTTTATATACAAATATGTTTTTATAAAAAATGTATATAAACACGTTTCTATAAAGAAAATGTTAACAAACATGTTTTTTTATATAAGAAAAATATATACAAACACCTATTGGTGTGCATATAGATACATAAATTCATACAAATAGATTTACTATGAAATAAGGATTGCATATATATATATATATATATATATATATATATATATATATATATATATATATATATATATATATATATATATATATATATATATATATATATATATAATATAAACGTGTTTGTATACACTTTTATAAAATACGTGTTTGATTGTTTGTATACAAATTCATTTATTATAAAATAGGTATTTGTATAATTTTTTTTAATAAATTACGCGTTTGTATACATTTGTTTTTATGAATATGGATTTGTATATATTTATGTATTTATATACACACAAAATGTTTTCTATGTACTTCATAAGTACCTATTTTATAAAAATGTTTTTAAGGTATATACGTATATAATAACGTATTATATATAATAGTATTTCAAGTATTTTTACATGACTATGTTTTTAAAAATATGCATTTAAAATAAAAAGATGTTTTTATAAATATGTATTTTGCATACATAAATGTTTTAGATTCTTTTTATATAGGTATATTGCATACAAAAATATTTTTTTTAAAAGGGGTTTTATTATAGAAAAAAGAAGGTTTTTTATGTGAAAATATATATTTTTTGTATTAATATGATTTTATAAAGAAAAAAAACATATTCGAAACAAAATTTTGAAAAAAATATATATGAAAATACCAAATTTAGGATGAGTTCGTAACAAAATTTTGAAATATGGGCCATAAGTGTAAATTTTGGAACATATTTTTAGTAAAATTTAAAATGTAGGCCAAAAGTATAAATTTTGGAACATATTTGTAATAAAATTTAAAATCTAGGCCAAAAGTATAAA